TAATAAATAATAATAATGATAATGATAATAATAATAATAATAATGATAATAATGATAATAATAATGATAATGATAATAATAATAATAATAACAATGATAATGATAATAATAATAATAATAATGATAATAATGATAATAACAACAATCCAGAGAATATATTACTAAGAGTCGTGTGACAGAAGCAGCAACAATTACTATTATAATACAAATGTTTAATATGTTTGTAGATCATAGATTGATATTGATATTATTAAAGCATTTCTTACAAAATGAAAATAATAGTATATAAATTTAAAAATCTATATTACTCTTTTAATGTTATATCTTTAGTGACATCAAATGCTTTATCAATATTTTGGTTACTTCAATATGTGAATGATTTATTTTAATAAAAAAAAAAATTTTTTTTTAAAAACAGAATAAATTCAGTTTAATAAATAAATTCTATGAAATTTTTCAGATAAATAAATTACTTATATAAAAATAGTGACAATCTCCTAAAAACTAAAATATTAATTATTAACATCTTTAAGAGTAAAATATAGAATGAAAATTTGAGAATACAAATGAGTTATGCTTTTACAACTGAATTTCATATATACAAAATGTATCATTTTTAGAGCAGAAATTAAATTGAACCAAATAATTGTCAATGTTATTTATTAATTATCAAAATTTAAAAATAGACAACAAATTTAAGTAATGTTATAATAAATAAATAATTATAAAATTATTAAATAGAAAGAATATTATGAAAATTACTCAGTCTTAGTTTGTTAACTTTTAAGTTGATAAAAATAAATAACACACTTGATTTCTTAAATATTTCAATTTTCTTATACTCAAAGAGTAAATATTGTCCACTCTTGTAAATCAATTCTAGCAAAACACTTGTAATTCTTGGTTATGACCAAGTGTAACTTAAATTATAACACTTTTCCTTTGATAACAGATTGAGTGGTTATTGAGTTACGAAGGTTTAAATATTACTTTAGAATTCTAAAATAAATTGAACTTGTTCAGGAATACTTACTACAAACCTTACATTATTATCAAATTTAAAAAAAAAAAAAAAAAAAAAAAAAAAAATTAAATTTTGAAAATTTATATTCGATTATTAAAGTTCGGAAATTAAAGCGATACTATTATGACAAGAAATAACTGAAATCACCAAGTTAATGCAAGCATTCATTAATTGCTTAAATAAATAAACCGAAAATCACCAAATTAATGCAAGCATTCATTAATTGCTTAAATAAATAAACCGAAAATCACTGGAATTAAATCATATCGATTAATGACCGACTGACATAATAACTAACTTTCCGTAAATTAATATTAGGTTATAAAATTTGTTTTTTAAGATATGCTTTTCATACAATGAGAAAAGTGTGACGCTGCGACTGTGATGTAACTAATGTCACTATGAAATATGAGAAATTGTGAATCGGAATTACAGAACTCTGAGTTTAGCTCCGAAAGTATTATTTGTTATACAATAAGATTGTCTATTTTATCAATAAATGAGTACACGTTACTCATTTAGCAGTACGCATGTGTATGTGCATATATATATATATATATATATATATATATATATATATATATATATATATATATAGGGAGAGAGAGAGAGAGAGAGAGAGAGAGAGAAATATACCAAAGGACTGTACTACACCAGACGGCAAAATTCGAGACCAATCTCCTGCTCGAAGATCATCGAAGATCTAACACGTGCCTTATCTGTATTTAACTAAAAGAATTAGCCTGGGTAAGATCGATTATTATAAAAAATATCTCTTTGCCCTCCAAACGCTTTTTCTTATTTCTACATATACATGTGCGTATTATATTAATAATTAATCAATACGTTATATGATAAAAATATATAAGTGAATCTCTTTTTAAAATATTAATTTTAATCTTTACTTAATTTTCAAAATTTCTACTCGTTTCGACAACTCTTTTCATTTTCCGACTTATTAGATATTTTAGAATATTACGTTATAATATTATATATATTCTGCGCATGTCTTACATGCAGCCCTCACGAAATTGTCTCGCAATTTTGATCATCGCGATCTATCGACTTTGATAAGTAAAAGCAGATCCCAGTATTTTACTATCATCGTTGGCTATACGGTTAATTAAATCTTTATGCAAACATCAACTATTATGGTAATAGCTTGAAAATAATTGTTTAATCCTAAAATTAAATAGCGAAAAAATTATTATTCGAGTGGCAAAAAACAATTTTTTCATTGTAGGTGCAATGATAAAGTAGAGCAGAGAAACACATTTTTACACTGAGCGACTATCGCGACTTATAATCTACTTAAACGAAAATATAAACGAATTGTAACATTGAAAAAGAATCAAAAAAAGGTAAATTAAAACCATAACGTTACATTACTATTATTATTATTATTATCATTATTATTATTTCATTTATTTTTACTAATAAAAGTAATTAAAGCGTAGTTAGTACGTTGCTGTGAATTTAAAAAACTGTTAAGGTATTTGTGTTTAACACTTCAATTTGCTGAAAATTTCAATTATATTAAGCGTACGTTATTTGTTGGAAAATATTAAATTCACTCGATATGCGCGATTGCTATGTTCATTATAAGTTGTTATAGGTTAAAAGTTTCTATAATGTTTGTGCAATATTAAATGAAATAAAATAAATTTACAGCTCTTTTTTTTTTTTTGGTAATTTCGAGAATTAAATAATACAAAGACAATGGGATGTAATTTTATCGACTAATAGAGTTTGTTATATTTGGTAAAGCTTTGACACATTGAAGACATTTATTAAACTTGTTTCAGATTTAAGATTTCATCAAACTATCTGCACAAAAGTATAAATAGTTACTTGTATGGAATATTACTTCAATGTCTAAGAAGAAACAGGTTTCCAAGTTGTTACTCGTTCATTATTAAAGTTTTATGTTAACTACCATCAGTGATCGTTCATACATTGTTCCGTAATTTCATAATTTAAGACTTAGAAAATTAACTTCAATGATTACGTTATTTTTTTTGTTTTTTCCCATAAAACAGTAACTTTATGTTCGTTTGATTCAAAATTTCAAAGCCAACTAACATCTCTGTTTAATTTAATTTATAAATACGTGTTTGTATATTTGTATATATAATAATTGATATGTGTTTATTACACGTTTTTGTGTTTAATTAAGGTTATTGTTTTGTTACAAATATTATACATAGTTTAATCAACGCATTTTATTATTTTTTCAGTTGCGATCCTGCATGCTTTGTAATCACCAAACATCAACAGCGGATCGTTCTATTTAAATTAGTTTGCTAAGCATCTCGACTCGGTACATCAATTTATGGCTGCACTTATTAATCGCATAATGTCTGGGGAGAATCAGTTTCGTACAAACGATATTAGAACTGATAATTCTCCTCTACAGATTTTTGTCAAGGCAAAGAAGAAGATCAATGATATCTTCATTGAAATTAATGATTATGTAGAGGATACTACGCAATTTATTGGATGTAAGTAGCATTAACGATACCGCTTTATCAATTGTGCATTAAAATTAGTAATTGCAAATCTGTAATTTTCAAGTATTACGAGAGAATAATAAAATTATCGAGCCAAAAGAAATACAGAATGTTGAAAGTTATAATGCTAAAGTTCAAGGAATCAGAGATGTGCTTAAAAGGGATCATATGAAAGTCGCCTTTTTTGGAAGGTCTGTATTTTGTATTAGCTTAATTACATTGAAGATCGATTCATTTCTAAATTATGAAAAATGTAAATCGTTTGCAGAACTAGTAATGGAAAAAGTACAGTTATCAATGCAATGTTGCGTAATAAAATATTACCCAGTGGTATTGGACACACAACCAATTGCTTTCTACAAGTCGAAGGATCTGAAAATGGAGAGGCCTATCTCATTACAGAAGTATCGGACGTAAAGCAACCGGTACAATCGGTAGGGCAACTTGGCCATGCTCTGTGTAAAGAGAAATTGTGTGAAAGTAATTTAGTTAGAATTTTTTGGCCAAAAGATAAGTGCCTACTTTTGCGAGATGACGTAGTATTTGTCGATAGTCCTGGTGTTGATGTAACGCCTAATCTTGATGAATGGATCGATAAACATTGCCTCGATGCTGATGTTTTTGTCTTAGTTGCTAATGCAGAGTCAACTCTGATGATAGCAGTGAGCAATTTATTTTTAATTTATGTAATTTATTTTTGAAAGATCTTAAATATAAAGTATTTGTGTGGTATGCAGGAGAAAAATTTTTTCCACAAAGTGTCGACTAGATTATCGAAACCAAATATATTTATTTTAATGAATCGATGGGATGCATCTGCCGCGGAACCAGAATTTTACGATGAGGTAAGATAATAAAACATTAATCTTGGTACTACTAGAATAGAAATTAGTGTATATTAACATTTTTTAAAATTCTTGATACCAAGAATTTATTCTTTAGCAGGTCGATGTACAAAAAGAGGTAAGATTATGTTTTAAATTGCACTATAAATCAAAATAAGATTTTATTTTAATATCATGTTTTTGCAAGCATATCAACTTTAGAACTTTGAAGAAATGCTTTTCACCTAAAAATTTTTCTTGGGCGAATTTTTACTTTTCAAATTAGCAGAAATTTATCGAAAGTATAAATTTGCAGTCAGTCAAATGTTCTGAATACCATAAGCAATAATTTGAAAAGTAAACAGAAAATTTTACGTTTTAGTACACAGTTTTTATTATTTTAATGCAATAATATTTTTTTACCTTAATTTATAGCAATTTTAAGGAGAGCTACACGTAGAGTTATAAAATTTTTATAAAATTCTCTATAATTAAAGTGAATTTTACTTGAAGTAACCAAGTCACTTGAATCTTCATTCGGTTTATTTACAAACAGTTTCGTTACTGCACAGAACTCATAATGTACATTTATTTTATATACATTGATTTATTTCTATCATAATTATTATTATTATGTTATTTGTTTAAGTTTATGCTTATACTTCATCTTACTTAATGTTGTTTGAATTTAGGTAAGAGCACAGCATCAAGATCGGTCCGTTGATTTTTTGGTAAAGGAACTGAAAGTATGTAATCCAAAAGATGCTGAAGAACGAGTATTCTTTATTTCCGCTAAAGAAACTCTCCAAGCTCGTATTCAAGAGCAAAAAGATCAACCAATTCACAGTAGGTGTTTCGTTAAATATATATAAAAATTAAAGATTTTATAACTGAAAAAATTAATGAATTCTAGACGTCGCACTGGCTGATGGATTTCAAAAGCGCTATTTTGAATTTCAAGATTTCGAGCGAAAATTCGAAGAGTGCATTTCCAAGTCAGCGGTGAAAACTAAATTTGAAAAACACTCGCAGAAAGGAAAGCTCATCGTAACGTTAGTTAAATTAATTAAAGTATAATGGCATTATAAAAATAAATTGATAAAAGTTAAATTTATTGCAGTGAAATTCGTCAAACGTTGGATGAAATATTAGATCGGACACAAAAAATGAAATTTGAGCAGGAAAAAAAGAAAAAGGAGGTCTATAATAAAATCAATTTTATAGAAAATCAGCTGGTCGCCTTAACTCAAGAAATGAAGGAAAAAATTCATAGAATCGTTGAAGATGTTGAACAGAAAGTATCAAAAGCCTTAAATGAGGAAATTCGTCGATTATCTGTTCTCATTAATGAATTTAATGTACCTTTTCACATCGAGCCCCTGGCATTAAATATTTATAAAAGGGAACTTCATGTTCACGTGGAACGTGGACTTGGATCAAATTTAAGAGCTCGTTTGAGCACGGCTTTAGCATTAAATATTGACAATTCGCAAAGAGAAATGATTGAAAAGATGTCAGCTTTGTTGCCCGAAAAGAAACAGCAGGCGTGTTCAACTATTTTGCCGAAAAGAGAAGCCTTTCAGGTTTTTTACCGATTAAATTGTGATAATTTATGCGCTGATTTTCACGAAGATTTAGAATTTCGTTTTTCATGGGGACTTAAAGCTCTTATAAATAAGTTTGCTCGTAAACAGAATAAAAAGCTTGCCATAACACATCTGCCACAAGAGGTTGGTTCATTGTTTAAATGTTTTAAATGTTTAATCGATGTAGGTAAAATGTTGATTTTTTAAATAATGAATTATCTTACTCTTTAAGATACCTGCCATTATGTCTCCTACAGACAGTGTAGATTCATCAAAATTTGTTTCTACACCAAATTGCTTTCCAGCAGCTACGGACGATTGGCCCTTAGCCACCAAAGTAGCGATAGCATCGATTACTTCTCAAGGCACAATGGGTGGTCTTTTAATAGTAGGATTTGTAAGTTAATATTATTCATATAATTGTATAGTCTTAATATTTAAGAAGCTACATAGATAATGTTTCCTTTAAAAAAAAATATATATATATATATATATATATATATATATATATATATACATATACATATGTGTACATTTTGGCAAATAGTTTTTTAAAAAACAAAGTTTTCTAGAATGCAATACATGCATTTACAATATATATACGCACCTTTGAATAAATAGAATTTTTTTAATTTTATCAATAATATTAGCAATATTTTTTTTATAAGCGTGTAAAATATTTCTAAAGCTATGAAAAAATGAAAAAAATATATATGTATAATTATACTTTTTATTCTTATAACAATAACAATAATAATAGTAATAATAACAACAACAACAACAACAACAACAACAACAACAACAACTAAGGTTTCTCTTCTTATGAATTTACATTGTTGTATTAGTAATTCTATATTTTGTTTGTAAATAGTTTGAATTGTAAATAGTTAGAAATTCATTTATACAAGCTGATCTATGAGCTATAAAGTAAATTTTTAAACTTGAAAATGTAGTTTTACTAAAATTTCATGTAAATTATAAAAATTGAACACTTTATTTTGATTACATTATTGAAAGTATATTTAATATGCTTGTGAAAAATCAGCTCCGTAAACAACACGCGAATATTAAATCAATAATTTTATCTAATATAAAATATTGCAAAAAAAAAATTAATTTTTTACAATTATTATATTAATATATATTTATTTTTCTTGACACTTATGTTCTTGATCATTATGTTACATTTACTGAAATAATAGCCATCTTAATTTATCTTAAAATTTATAATAATTTAGTAGCTACCTTTTAAAAATTTAGTATATACGTTTAAAACGTTCTACTTACTTTTACTTTATATAGATGTTAAAAACCATTGGATGGAGACTTATAGCTTTGACTGGAGGAATTTATGGTGCTTTGTATTTGTATGAACGATTAATATGGACAAATAAGGCAAAGGAACAAGTATTTAAGAAACAATATGTAGAACACGCAACAAAGAAATTGAAACTCATCGTTGATCTTACATCGTCTAATTGTAGCTATCAAGTTCAACAGTAAGTTACTATGTATCTGAAAAATTACAGTCAATAAGTTTGTTATTAAATAATATTATAATTTTAGGGAGTTGTTGAGTACATTTGCACGATTATGTCATTTCGTTGATGAAACCGTTTCTGAAATGGATAAAGAAACGCAAAAAATTAATGCAACACTTCATAGCTTAGAAGAAGCAGGTACAAAAGCCAAAGTTCTAAGAAATAAGGCAAATTATTTAGCAAATGAATTGGATCTTTTTGATTCAGCATACTTGAAATCTTTAATTTAATCCCCCCCTTTCCCTCCCCCATTATAATTATGTTTACAAATTTGTATGTGACAATGATAGAGCGTTTTCGATGTACATATATACATATATATCAAGACAAATTCTTTTTCCAAGAATAATTTGTCGAGCATCTAAGAATGTTTCTATTACAACTCTAGTCTCTTCAAATCTTTTAACTTGATAACGTACAATTATATAATGTTGATTTTTTTTGTTTTTATTTCATACCATTTAGAAACTAATGAATTTGTAGTATTTATTGATTTATATAATCAACACTGAATCAACACTGGTGTTGTTTGAGTAATTGATTTTTCAAATACGTGAATTCTAGATCTTTAATAATAATCTACTTTATAAAGTATGAGCTGAGCTTAAGATGTATTAGTCAATTTTCATTTATACATTATAAAATTCAAAATAAATGATTTGTTATTAATAATAAACTTAATATTTGATTTGATACCTATTTATTTAAATTTTCTTACATTATGATAACATTAAGTTGAAAAATTGATTTTAAATAGCTTGATTGAGAGCTTCTGTGTATTTCTTGAGTTTACTAGCGACACTCATATCTACATATTTATCACCAATGGATATAATCAAACCACCAATTATAGATGGATCAATTTTTGTCGTGAGTACGATGGTTTGACCTTTTTTCAAATATGATTTTAAAGCTTTTTCTAATTTTGACTTATTATCCCCATCGAGTGGACTGGCGGTGATTACTTCGCAAACCACTTCTCCTCTGCTTGCTGCCATTATGATTTTGAAGATATTAACTATTTGAGTTGCACTTGCTAATCTTCCATTTTCAGCGAGAAGTTTCAAAAAATTTATCGTTGCTGGGTTGAAGTTAAATTTAGTTTGATGTAAAATATCAGATTTTACTTTGCGCTTTATGGAAGGATCTTTGATAAATTCGATTAATTTCTTGTCAGTTTTTAACAATTGCTATATACAAATTAAGAAGAAATATATGAAATTTATTAAGAATAGATTTTGCCAATAATTTCTATACAAATTATAACATTCATAATATAAATGTTGTATAATTACTTGAAATTTAAGTAAATCCTTTTCAACAGTATCCAAAGATTTTTGTTTACTGGCAGCAGAATACAGAGCTGTGGCATAACGACCATTTAAGCCAAAAACTTGAATCGGTGGCTGTAAAACGACAACATTATTATTTACGACAGAAAAAATATTGATTACAAACATGATTAACTTCAATTTTCTTACTTTTATCATCTGCTGAGCCATCGACGACGATGAAAATGTTCTTGCCTAAAAATAAATCCTTATCTTTACTAAGTTTATATTAATATAAGTTGTCTACCTATTAGAATATTTTAAATGATATAATTAGTTATATAAGTAAAATATGTCTTCGCACTTCATGATCTAATTGATTCTGATTGCCCATGGTATATCAAAAATAGAAGCTCATTAATGTAATAATCAGAAATATTGTTAATTTATCTTAAAAATTAAATACATTAAAACTTCAATTGAACAAGTAAGGTTATGTTAGAAGTGTTCAAAATGCCTGCCACGGATTATCGAAGAATCGAAATAAAAATCAAGTCGCTACGTTAATAAATTGTTCGATTTTAAAATTGTTTATTCGTAAATGAGCTTACAATAATGCCAATGCCACTTGATGCCATTTCGAATAGCTTTCACCTTACACTAAGGGTAAAATTAATTAACATTAAAGTACCACCACCACCGCCGCCAAAACTGATTGCATAACGTAGACGAATCGGGTTTCGGGACAATTAGGACAGCTGATAGATGATTGGGGAAAAGAAGACTCGCAGTTAAGCAGACAGGACTTCCTCCGATCGCCGACGCTGACGGAAATTACTACGAAAGCTGTGCAAAAGATTACGACATTCGAATACTTCGTTACCACTATCAGCGTCGTCTGCATGTTTTTTCTCCTTTTCTTCCAACAATTCTCATTAATTTAATGATTGCTATTTTAAAAACTATTGTTTTAATTTTTCGTGCATCTGTTATGATTATTCGAATTTTTACGCTTCTTTTATATCTTTTATTGAATGTGATGTTGGGAAGATTTTGAAGAATACTTGCTGTACAGAGGAATGTCTTAATATTATTTTCTACGCCGTCTTATATGATAAATGTAAACATAACCTGATTATTTATTTGTGTAATCAAGTGTCGAACACTGAGATTTATTTAAAAAAATTGCTTAAAAATATCCAATAAATTTACCGATTATAGAAGAAATGTTATCATGACCTCGACAACTTCGTATATCACCCAAGATGGTCCGGCTAACGCACTGGCCTTAAATAAAGACAATTCTCAGGTTGTGATAGCTGGCAGAAATGGCAAGTATCTCTTTGGTGTCTACGACTTAAAATTTTGTTGCAAAATTGCTGTAATTATTAAATATTGTCTTTTAGTTTTCAAAATATTCACATTGTTGGAGGACAAGTTTGAGGAATTTTGTAACTTGCGAGTAGGGAAGAATTTAAATTTAAATTTCTCTTGCAACGATGTGGCTTGGAATCTTATAGAAGGTAAATAATTAAATTAAAGTAAATTATTAATTTGAGACAATATCGATGAAATATTGTTCGTCGCAGATCATATTCTGGCTACCGCAGCCACAAATGGAGCGGTAGTTGTATGGAATTTAAATCGGCCGTCGAGATCTAAGCAAGAATATGTATTTGCCGATCATAAGCGTACCGTAAATAAAGTTAGTTTTCATATGTCAGAGCCTATGTGGCTGATATCGGGTTCTCAAGATGGAACGATGAAATGTTTCGATCTCAGAATAAAAGAAGCAACGAGAACATTTTACAGGTAGTAATTTTAAATATTATTTATTAATAATTTCTAATATTTCATATTTCCTTCCTAATCGTGAATCCTACGTTTATGTTATTTAGTAATACAGAATCAGTGCGAGATGTTCAATTTTCACCGCATCAAGCTCACACTTTTGCAGCAGTTTCAGAGAATGGACACGTTCAATTGTGGGACCTGCGCAGGTCCGACAGATATTTTCAACATTTCACCGCACACAGTGGACCCATTTTTGCATGCGACTGGCATCCAGAAACTACGTGGCTCGCTACAGCCTCGAGGGATAAGACCATAAAAGTATGGGATTTGACAGCGAAACCAAGTTGCGACTACACTATACACACGATAGCATCGGTGGGTCGTATCAAATGGAGGCCGCAGAGAAAATATCACATTGGAAGTAGCGCTCTCGTTGTTGACTGTAGTATCAATGTATGGGATATAAGAAGACCATACATTCCTTTTGCTAGTTTTAGCGAACACAAAGATATTCCAACTGGAATAGCTTGGCGAGGTGATCCACAATCGTTTCTATCCACTAGCAGAGTGAGTAGTGTGACTTTCTAAAATTTGCTGGAAATAATACTCGATATTTTAATGCAAAGCTTCAAATTAGCCATAATTTTCCTTTTCTTCATTTCAATTGAATTATAATATTGACATTATTGACATTCGAATTTAGGATTGTACTCTGTATCATCATGTATTTCAAGATGCCACGAGACCGGCAAGCAGTGCTAATCCACAAGGCATCGCATTAAATACAAAAGGTGATATAGCTTATGCTTGTAAAACGACGGTTAGTACTCCAACCAGCGTAGAACAAATTACCAGTAGGATAATGAGGTATGCTAGTTCGATACATGGTTAATGCATTCGTACGTACATAATGAGGACGACGAGTAACATTTTTACAGAAAAACGCCAGTGAGCAATGATACATTTTGTCAAGCCTCAAGTTGGATGCATAGATTTACCGCATTAACTCCCAATAGTAGTAGGGAGCTCAAGTGGTTTAAAATTTGCGCGGAAAATTATTTATTAAACGGAAGATTAAATGACGTTTGCGATCATAATTCGATCGTTGCCAGTAATGCTGGTAGGAACGATGTAAGTACGTAAGGATAAATATTTTTTTCTCACAATATGTAAAGTAATTATAAATGAAACTAATAGGTAAGTACAATATGGAGCATTATTAAGACTTGCTTTGAAAATCCATTGGGTAACAATAATAATGCGCCAAGACGTCCAGTGTCCGAACAAGATGTAGCAAATACATTAAATTTACCTTGCCTAGGTGCAAACAACGATCAATCGACACCAGGTAAAAGTAATTTCAACATTTATCTACAATACGTCATTGTAAAGTGAGAAAATTGATTTTCTATTTTGATAGACAATGGATAGACAAATAATTCTTTTGATTGTGAAACTATCGGGAGCTATTGCTACGAAAATCGTATCTATTTCTTATTATCGTAGCCCAGTTAAATTGCACAAGCGGCCGCAACGAAATATAATAAAATATCTTTTAAATAGAATGAAAAGAATTAATCATTGATGAAATTAATCGTATACTTGGATTAAAATACCAAAACTTTTATCCTCATCCCTATCGTGGCACTAATTTATAATAATAATGCTTCAATCGACACGACTTTTAAGCACCGTCAATCATATAAACCTGTAAAAATCAAATATATAAACTAAAATAAAGTAAAATTTTAGACACATAAATATTACACGTCATCACTGTTGCTTAAATTTAACTAAGTACTTTGACAAAGGCTTTGAAAACGATGTTAAATCGCTACAAGGCGAAGCGGCACCGGGTGTTGTGAGCGGTGGCGACGACGAAACTGAAACGGACGAGCCTCCGGAGAATCAAAATTTCGTCGGACCCTTTCTATCCAGTTATAGGAGGTCACTGCCAGGTTACAAGCGCCAGCCGAAGGGCGACTTTTCCTTCGGCGAGGGCGAATTAGAGCCACTGACCATCGAATACAATAGTGGTTTCATCGATAACATGAACAACGACAACGACTGGTCTCTGCCGAAGGAAGCCTTTCCCTTGAGGCACGAAATTCAAAATCGATCCCCTCCACCCGAACAGTTTCCAAACCACTCGCCGGACATAAACGACGATACTCTGTCCATAATGGTCGAGGACCAGCCCTGCCAGTTGATCGTCGCGTCAGTGCCGAAGCCGACATTCTGGGACCCAACAAGCCTCGTCGAAGACGCCCTCAGGCACCACGCAAACACCAAAGACATTCAGACAGCAGCTTGTATTCTTTTGGCGCTCGGCGACAGGCGTAAGGACCTTAACATTGAAATGGCCTTACAGGAGCATTGGCTCTTAGAGTATTTGGATATATTAGGAAAATTCAAATTGTGGGAGGTTGCTACAAGGGTAAGTATTATATTTTGCGCTGAAAACTTTTAACAATTCTTTTCGATGAGTTAGTTAGAAAGTTTAAAGAATTAAAATATTGAATTTTTGACGTTATCGTTGAGCAAATGAAAAAACATAATATGTATTATTTATTGTATATGGGAGCATTTACTAAGCGCGCACTTACTATCGTGTAAGTGAAATTGTTTAAATAAAGTTTCTTCCATAAAGTGAAAGTATGCGCAAAAAACGTCAATCAGCAATTAAAGCTTTCAATGAGATAAAAGTAAGATAATGAGACAAGTATGTGAAAGAGGTTAAAGGATAATTCGACTTTTAAATAGAAATATTTATCTTCGACACGATCGCAAATGTTAAGAAATGTTAAGAACGATTTTATGTACTCGTTAATCATCGGTTATTTCATTTGTTAATTAATCTGGAAATTTAAGTCAATGGTTGAGGGTTAATATTGTAAAAGTAATTTTGATATTGAGTTTAAATATTTTGTACGTACGTTACCATCCTAACAAATATTAATTGTATTCAACAACGGACTTTGTTATCTCATTGAGTACATGTTTAATGGGTCGTGACCATTTAAAAAAAAATAATTAAAGGACACTTTAAAAACCAAACGCCAGTTTGATATTTACGAATGTCCTGACTCGTCCAAAATCATTAATTAATTTTTTAGATAATACAGCTAGCTTGGATCCCATCGGTATCTCAACTTAATCAGCAATCAACAACAATACACGCATGCTGCTCATCATGCACGAAGCCTCTTCATAGATCGGCTTGGCTGTGCGACCGATGTCACTCATCGAAACACGCTCTCTGTTCAATTTGCCATCAGGTAGAGTAATTCACGCATTCGCGATAACACGGGATCATTAGTCATTACGTATTCTTGTGTTAAACAGGTCGTTCGAGGAGTTTACGCCTGGTGCCAAGGGTGTGCACATGGTGGACACGTTAATCACATGAGCGAATGGTTCAATACGAATAAGCAGTGCCCAACTGGTTGTGGCCATACCTGTGAATATATCTGAGATTCCGGTTCTTTCAATCTTTAAGAGTCTTCAAGATTCTTCAAGATTCGTACCTCGATTTTAATACACGACAATTGCACTTTACAAGGATGCAATGCATTATATAGTAGGAACGAAATTAAGTAAAATTCAAGCGATGAAAATTTGCAGCCTTTCGTACTGTTTTCTACACTAATTCTGTGATCAATTATATTATATGTGTACATAATATATTAAATAATAGTACTTGACAATGTTTTCTGTCGGGTCATAAATAATAAGATACAGTTTTTTTTGTTTTTTTTTTTGTTTTGTTTTTTCTTTTTTTCTTTCTCTTATATAATATTATTTATTTTACTAAATGCTATGCAGGGTAGTTGTGGATTAACATTCAGCTAATAAAATAATGCATTCCAAAGCAATTAGAAGTATAAAACATTTTTTTTACACCTTGCATAATGAAGAGTTTTTATACACTTTTTCTTTCTTTCTTATAAGTAAATATTTTATAAATAAGCAATTTATCTATGTAATTTTGGTACTAGACGATGTACTTAATAAAGCCGATACTTTAAGCAATTTTTATTACATTTGTGAGAAAGTAATTTGAGAAAAATCTATATTCTTATGCGAATCACAAAATATTTAAAAAGGCACAATCTGCAAGATTATAAAAATATAAAATTTAATTATATGGCGAGATCTGTTCTATATACGACTGGTGATTTAGCTATTATAACATAGCTTTACACCTGTAAAAACATTAGCTCAAACATTTCCTTCTAATTATAATAATTTAGCAGTACATAACCACACCACTTATTAATTAAGAACGATAAATCAAAACAACTAATGATATAAAATGTAAGTATAATTCGATAACTTTACAATGTTTTTTCATGGCCTCATGGAGGCACGTCTACTTTATTTTATTTCAACATAACCTTTGAATTTTTCAGTCTGTACATTTTGCTTCGTATAGTTAACTTTGATGAAATTGCGCGATTATTTTCAATAATTTTTCATCATTTATGAATAAGGAATGGATATGAAAATGCAACTCTATTTTTTTAAAAAGTATTTGCGAATACGTTCCCCTACAAATATACAAAAAAATTTACAATCAATTAATAACGAATCATTCAAACAGATCTCGTGCCATTTTCCCTTGTGTAACTAGGAACTCGCGAATAATAGACAATCACTATTAATACACGTGAATTTAAATTTCTATTTTATATTGTGTTCTTTAAAATTATGTATAATCTATTTCATACACAGACAGGTGAAATTCAAACTGGTACATATAATTTAATGTTCTTAAAAATCATTAATTTATTAAATTAAACAATCGTTTTAATAACTATAGGTAGAGATAATTTGCACAAAACAAAATAAAATAAAAATAAAATGATAAAATTAGATAGTTATGTTTTATTATAATATTATTATATATAAATTATTATTTTAATAATTAATAGTTTTATTAATAAAAAATAATTTTGATTATCCGCCAATAATAAAGTAAATTAAATATAATTAAAAGATACGAAATATTATTAACAAAAAAAAAAAAAGAAGAAAAAGTTACAATTTATTATTGAGTTCACTTAAAAATTACGTAATAGCAAATAAGATGAAATAAATGGAAAAACAATGTTGTATATGATAATTTCTCATTTCTCATTATTTCACTTGTCTGTGTGTGATTTGTAAACAAAAAAAAACAAAAAAAAAAAAACAACAAAATTATATAAGCGCAACAAAAATGAGGAAAAGTGTGGCGAGAAATTTTTTTGCTCTTAGTTGAGAAAAAGAGCTGCCAATGAAAAATGATATTTGAATATCGGATGAATCGTGTATCGAATATCACGGTCTCGTCGATTAAGATGAATTGTGCCTCAATCAAGCACATTTGGCCATTAAGCCGAATTGCATTTTCGTTAAAGAACGTTGCAACAACTTGCTTTTTTTTTTCGTTCTCCTAATTCTCCTTGATTTTCCTGAGCCTTGCGATCAGCGATGGAGCGCATTAGATCAAAGAATACCTGCAATTTATAGTTTATCAATTTCAACGGTAATCCTAAGATTAAAGATTTAAAATGTTTTCAATAAATTATTTGGAAAAAAAAAAAAAAAAAAAACCCAATTGTCATTTTAACATAATTTAGATAAATAATTGGCAAATAATTATATTTCTCTATTTATAATAATTTAATTTCCATTTATTTTTCAATATTTTTCTTTTTTCTCCAATGTATTAAGAAAAATGAAAACTTTTCAATAGGGTAATATATGCGTGTACATGAGCATTCCATAAAAAAAGTAAACTAAACGCTTTTGGCTAAAAATTTCATTTCACACACTCATAATGTTTCATAATGTTTAAATCAATATATTTTTTACTTTATAATTATGTTTATAACGCTCGTCCCATCAAATACAAATACAATTCAAATTCATTTTCAATAGAAATACAAAATAAAAAAACAGTTTGAATATTATGAATTAATAAAGTTTAATTCTACATTTTATTTATTAAGCTTGATGAAAGCATTGAATTATTTGTATTTCATTCAAATTATAACTGAAAATTGAGCAAAAAATGTTGTCAGTAACAATTATCATTATAATCTCTAAATATTTAATGAAAGTTTTGATGCTTCAATAATTCAATAGTAATTTACATAATTGTCGGTGCACACATATTACAACGCTTTGAATTACCATGAATATTGTTCAAGATACTTCTGAAGCTGTAAGCCATAATTTAATAATAAACAATGCTCATTATGTCTACAAATATTTATTAAAGAAATAAGAAATATAAATTTAAAAGATATAAAGCGTGAATGATTTTTAAAGTAAAGTTTAAAATAAAAGCAATTCAAGCATCACCAATATTCACGTATTTTAATAAAACAATTTTTATAATGCAAATAGAAAGAATTTAAGCGTTTTCTCCTTGCATATTGCATTATTGTTGATTTTTTTTTTTTTTTGTTTTTTATTTGTTTTGTTTTTAATAAGAAAGCATGACAATTTCAGTTTGTTGTAAAAGCTGTGTAGCGTGAATACGAGAATTTATAATAATTTTTTTACGTAAAAAAAGTGCAAATGGCCAACCTATAAAATAATACACTTCTTTTTCTTCCTCTTTGCTCGATCCTTGCCTCGTCCATTACTTGCTGCTTTATCTTCGATTTTGCGCGACCGTATTTCACGCATCAAGTCGAAAAATACCTGGAAATGTGCAAGTGATGCTTTTCAAGCATTTAATCAAAATGCTATAAAGAACATGAATAATAGCACAGTCGCAATAGAAATATCTTGTGCATGTACATGATTAAGGTAATGTGTCTAAGTAAAAGATATAATAAATGTTTGCTTGTATAAAATGAAGAAAGTAGAATAGATAAATAATAAAGTTTATAAGAATTAGATAAATAATTCATTGATCAACTTCTACAAGAGCGAATAGTCAGCCATTATATAAAAAGCATGCAAAAACTATGAAAAAACCAGTCTGATTTATATTCACACATACCTTGTCGACATTTTCTCTAGTCTTAGCACTTGTTTCAACGTAAGGAACTCCCCATTGCTGTGACCTGCCTTGTGCTTCCGCTAAACTAACTTTTCTTTTTTCTTGGAGGTCGCTCTTATTTCCCACCAGTAAAAAGGGAATGTTTTCATCATTTTTCACTCGTAGAATTTGTTCTCTGGACAACAGAAAAATCATAACCAATATCGTTACTTAAATGTACGAAAAAAGAAGTATTATTATTTTCTCGGGTAATAAATAATCTATTATTATTTTCTAGATTTTATCATATATTCTTAGCATATATGCGTCGAGCGCGAACAACAGGTAATCGATACGTGGTTGTTTTGATTTTTAAATCTCATATTTAAGGAGACAAAGTTTTTCATCAGGTCACTTTTAATTTCGTGCCTCAAGACACTCTGGAATATTTTCCATCGTCTTGATGTACGAATATCTTGAAACTGTCATCGATTATCGGGTATTTAATTAACGTTGATTTTAAAAATATTTTTCAGTTACTATAATGCGACGGTCCAAGCCAATAATGAAAGTACAAAATTATCATTGCTTTTCATTACGCCAATATCCATTAATTTGAATAAAAAAATAAATATGCGTTACAACATCATCCTCTTATTTATCGTGGAAATAACTAAAGCGATACCTAAATTCTTGCGTAGCTTGAAAACTGTCATCTTCCGTTATAGAAAATACGCAAAGAAAGCCTTCGCCGCTACGAAAATAGTTATCCCTAATGGCTGCATAATCTTCTTGACCCGCGGTATCCAATATATCTATCTGGACTTCCTCTCCATCAAGGACGACTTTTTTCCTATACGAATCAGCTTTTGTAGGCTCGTAGTCTTGAACAAACTACAAATCATACAAATATCCGTTATTTAATATTAATTGCGCACAATTCATTTCACATAAAATTTATAAATTATATCAATGACCTCGTCGTACATAAACTGCAACGTTAATGCTGATTTTCCTACACCGCCGCTTCCAACCATAATCACTTTATGTAGAGCCTGAGCAGCTCCTGGTTTTTTGGACATCTTCACGACTGCCCTACAATTAAAAACAATGCAAATTTATCGTTTATCTTACCGTAAAATCAGAAAGAGCTCAAGATACCAGTCCATCCAAAGGAAACGAGCTCCTTTACCCTTGGATGCTACTCTAACAATACAAAATGTACAGGATATAAATTCGCACAGGATACGCTAACTATGTTGTCAGTATGAGAAATCTCTGCGGCAGACCAACCATATCAGACCATTTTAAAACACTCCTCATACGTTACGGGCCACATGACGATTATTATTAAGCAATAATTTGATTACGAAAACTGACAAGCATATCGAATTAAAGTTTTATTACGTAAAATCGTAACTTTGTATTTTTATCTACTGATACGTTATCATTAGCAAGAGGGAAAAACTTAACGGTAAGATTAAATGAAAAAATGTAACGGACGTTAAAAACAAATGAAACATGCACAGATGTCTCTTTCCATTTTCTTAGGCAATTCTCAAACTCTTTATCGCAACTCTTTTACCTGTCAAACTTTCTAGGCTACGATGAAGTTTTCCGATCTTATCTTTTATAGTAATAATTGGACAAATCAAGGGCGTGTACGAGAGAGTCGTGTGAAGAATGGGAAAAGGCGGTGCCGCAGCGGTAGTCGCGCTACCGGACATACACACACGGTCGCTACTCACGCATGCACGTACGCACGCACGTACGTACGCACGCACGCACGCACGCACGCACGCACGCACGCACAGCAGGAAAAGCGCGCGCGTAAAAACAGATTCGGCGAGGTATTATCGTGCGTAAGGTAGCGTGTCCTTCACGCCGTTTTCTTCCCCACAAACGACAGACCAAATACCATAAAATACGACCGGAGAATAAATGTAGGCCGCACTCCACGAATCTCCATAAAACGCCTTTTACACGCTCTTGCACTCGAGAGAGAGAATAAGCCGAGGGGGATGAGCCACGGTGCGTACGTCAATTGCAAGGGCAACAGCAGGTGCACACACGCCCGGCTAGTAACCGTTCCTTCGGTTTTTCGGCTGGGCCAGGTGGTATTACGTCGTAGGGACGGCAGCGAGTGGCCGTCCCGTCAATCTTATTGTAACGAGTAGGCTGAACGACAGTAATCGCGTACCTTCGTACCTTTAATACACACCACCGGCTGTCCAGGTGCGAGGCGAGCGCGCAGGATATACGCGAAGAGACGAAATGAAACTGAAAAATAGCCAAGTCAATGTGCGAACGAATCCGTCGCTCCTACGAATACTGCGCTACTAAGTGCTTCGTACACACGTACTATCGCTGCCTCATCGCTGCCTCATCGCTGCCACCTTCTCCTCCTCCTACTCCTCCTCCCACGGCGCCTTCCTGAGCGAGTATTATGCCGCTACCGCCGTTGCCGTCGCCGCTCCGTCGACTCACGATGGCCTACCTCTCAGCCCCTCGTCGCTCCAACCTCACCCACCAACCCACCTACCCACCCAATCATGTATATACATACTTATATATATATATATATATATATATATATATTACTCATATGCGTTTCGATATCGAGGGCGAGCGCCGTTTGCCGACGCAATGCCCCCTGCCCTTTTCTCTCTTTCTCGGCGGTGCAGTGCCGCGCAAGAGACAAAAAAGTTTCTATCCTCCTACTTGTGTTCCACATGGCTAATTAATTGGCCATTATAAAAAAAAAAAAATTAAAATATAAAACGCCCTGGTGCAAATGTCGGCCTGCTCCAAGGCCTTTTCTATAATCCAGCGAGTGCGCATGTTTATATTTTGCCCTCCTCGATGCTTTAATCGCTCGTTTGTTTGTTTCCTTTTTTTATTCATTTCCTTTTCACGATATATTCCATTGTTCGAATATTTCTCTTTTTATGGCGCAAGGACATAAAGATTACGCTGGCATTGCAGTTAATTTTGCAGCTGTGCATGCAATTGCGGCGTCGTACGAATATTTTGAAAATATCAGGCTACGCGCAGCTTATTCGGTACTCTGCGAATTTTCACATTAAACGTCACGTTAGTAAGGAGTTATTCGTTGGCGCGCGCGATCACGTGGTTCTCTTTGTATGCAGCGACCGATAATGCAGATCCCTCGCCGAATTATATTTCACCTGCGTACGGGTCAATCGCCAGACCGATGACAAATCACCCAGGGAGCGAACTATTGTCTTCTTCATAGGCGTACGCATACATGCGTTAGCGATCGTGCGTGCATGCGGGTGCGCGGGCGCGCGCGCTCGTTCACGCATGTGTCGACGGATGGATTTGCGTGTGTATTACTAGGCGTTTGCATGATCATAGTCACGTCGTTACCGTCGCTCTGATCAGTGGTGTAGGGGCCTCGTCGACATAGTCTTCCATTTCTTTCGCATTTATTTTCCGTTTCGTCTTTTTACTTAAGTATTTACACATTGAACTGTCATCGGTCATTGCGTAATCATGCGGCTCTTATGTACGTGAGTGATTTGAAAGTTCGTCACAGTATCTTTAAGGATTTTCTTTGATAAAGCAATGGAAAATCAAAGCGCAACCGACGTTCATGTTCCGATTCGAGAGAATCTTGTAAGTATATATGTATGCAATTTTCTCCGAGTAAAAGTAATTTTCGCTTAATATTAGCTTTGGCTCTGTAAATAAAATGGTATCCACGCATGGAAGGGGAAGCAAACTTTTATTTGCTTATTCTACCTTCCTCGCATTATGAATATAATTGCAATTTTTAATTGTAATTCCTATTATGAAGAGATCATGTTCTATTCAAGGTAAATACAGCTGTTAAGTTCCTGCAAAATCCAAAAGTCTCTTCTAGTCCTGTTCATCAGAAACAAAAGTTTCTGAAAAGTAAGGGATTGACGAGCAGAGAAATCCAAAGAGCATGCGAGCTTGCATCGGTCGGGACTAACAATGGTCCACTGGGTTACAATCAAAGCGATTGTACTGTTATACCAATGCTGGAAGGACCCGTACATTCGAACTATTCGCAAATTCTCCAGCCAACTTTATTTTACAAAATTAAAGAATTTTTTAACGGAGTGGCTATAATTACAGCTAGCTGTTACTGCGTTTATTGGTTCTATAAGGTACGATTAATTATTGACATAATTGGCTAATTCATAATGAAAATCCAATTCTTTGTTCAGTTTGTAATTTACTCAATTGTAGAAAGTTATACATCCGTTATTGTTCGGATCTAAGAAAAAAGATCCACCAAAGGATCCAGTGATTGAATTGGATAAGAATATACAGCATGTAAAAGAGTCTATAAATCAAGTTAAAAGCGACGTTCAGCAATTAACGCAAAATCAAATAATGGATCCATCTGTACCTCAGCTTGTTCACGAATTGAAACAAGACTTGGCTAGTTTAAAGTCTCTCTTGCTATCGAGGTGAATATTTCTAAATTCCTTGGTGTATAACCACTCTATAGTAATTAAATTGTAAATATTTTGAAATTGCCTCGTCGTAGGAAACAATTTCCCAATGCACCAGCTTCTATTCCATCTTGGCAACTGGAAGCATCAAGCCAAGGTCAAGAAAAAACTACCGAACGAGAAGATGACGCCGGAAGCGGTAGTAGTACTAATAATTCTGACAGTTCTCTAGAGATGATTCGAGAAGACCCTCCCAAAGAATGAATATTTAAAGTTCTATAAGTTTGGACTATTCTTCACATTTAACAATTATATTACTCGATAATTACTATTATTCGAGTGATGTTCCAAGTTTGTACGATGTAAGATAATGCAAGAGCGAGTTGTTTTCTAGTTTTGATGAGATAAGCTTTATGCGTATAAGTTGGGTGTGTCAAACACGTGTGTCTGATAAAAATGGTTACAATTAAATGTTGGGCAATTTTTTTTTATTTCTTTATATTCTGCGTATCTGTACGATACATAGAAAACGTATTCCAATGCTTCATGTTTTCTAAGCAAAGGTGAATTGAAATGGGAAAAAAAAAAAAAAAAAAAAAAATAAATAAAAAAATAAAACTTGTTTTTTTTTTATTCTAACTGAACAATACAATTTGAAGTGGGTACATATTGCATTTTTATACAAGTTAATTGAGTGTCATTGTATCTCATAGTCGTGATAAAGTTAATTATTTTTGTACATTGTATCAAAATATTTCATCTATCTTTGGAAAGTTCACACCATTTGTCTTATTTTTCATGCTTTCCTCTCATGTAAATAAACAATTAAGAATTAAAATTTTTTATTGACGAAAATAGGTAGTGATAATTAAAATCTCTCTCTTTCTAGCAAATGGTTTTTATGTCTGAATATTAAATTGATTACTCAATTATATATATATATATATATGTATATATATATATATATATATATATATATATATATATATATATATATATATATATATATATATATATATATATAATTGATCTCTAACAATAAACAATAAGGAATTTTATCCAATGAACGTGTACACGCTGAATATCTTGAAACAAAAGTAAATAGCTAATTAAATGTTTATTTTTGCTCGCACTATTCATGTGTACCAACGCATCCAAGTATGCTCGTTTGCAAATGTAATTCACATACATACATGCATACATACGTGTATAGTATCCAATCATAACAGCTTAGGTTAATTATGAAATTTAATCAGTAATAACTGAATCAAACATACATACTCTACAGTTTATACTTCGGTATTTACATTTCATGCAATAATTACTATTATTATATTAGAGTATAATAGCGCATGTGCATTTGCCACATGAACAAGGTGTAAACTAATTATTTTCATAATCAATATCCAATCGAATCAAATATTTTCTCAGATTGAATAATTATTTTTATTAGATGTATTAATATTCTTTTTAGATTACAATATAATCAAAATAGCTGCCTCACTGATACAGTGAGTTACAGCAACTCATTTAGCCATCCTAGATCAAACAATGTACAATCGTTATAAAAGCATTGTACTTAGAGATTACAGTCTCTCGCTCGTGTGCTTCCTACAATAATTCTACGTAGTAAAAAGAGACAAACAAAATTATACTCAGGATCTAAAACATACACAAAAATATACATTTGGCGAGTCACGATAAGACAAAGAAATGACGCTCCATATAGCATTCCAAAGAAAATAACTCGAATCTTTGGCTAATACATTTGTGAAGTAATTTAGATGGCTGATTTCGTGTCTTGACTCAATATATGCTTTGAGAGAGAAAATATCTTTCAGGATGTTTTGTGCTGAGGTGTAGTGGCATTGCAGTTAGGGATCGAGTTCATCCGTCGACAATCAGACAATCGCACGTATTCTCAGACGATTCTGTAACACGCGCGCCCGCTGATAGGACTTTTGTGTGGGCCGAACAAGCAGCACTTTCTTAATGTATCACTTCTCCCTCGCTCTTTATAAACATTGTACTAGGATTGTGCTACCAAGTGTGATGCAAATGTAGATTTCTCGATAGTACCGAACGAACGTCTTGCGTGAAACGAAGAGCATCGAGCACTGGAAGTAAGCTTAGAAGTGCGATGTCAGCTGGATCGCTGAACCACGACTTTATAGGTATTGCGTTATCTGTAGAGGGGCAAAGAAATAACATTACATCATAAAACGCGTGTGAGTTGTATGTTTCAGCGGAGGCTGAGAGGTAGTTTACTTACGAGGATAAGCTCGGTAAGCACCAGGGCTATTATCCAGTATAAAGACCGATGCTAAATCAGAACAAATAGCAGCCAAATCCTTTGTATAGGAACCCATTTCAGGCGTGCAATGCTGCCTGTAGTACCTGCGCCGCAGTATTCCCCTGTTGTCATCTAATTTATCAGCAACGGCAGCACCATAAATTTCCATCGAAGCCGTAAACACAACGAGTTCGTACCTTCGCAAAGCATCGGGAATCTTAATTACAAGTCAGCTTCAAATTATTACGTTAATAGTGCACTCGACGTACAACGTATACTCACCATTGACTAACAATATCTAAAAAAAAATCTACGTGAGGTCTTTTATGAACGTAAAATCTAACCGGATGTCGGTCTATCGTCACTTTAAGAATAAAGTCAGGAGGAGTGCCGGGTCTGACCGTAGGCCTCGCAACTCCGTCGTGATGAGAATGAATGAGCGTTTCGTCCAAATCCAACACAAGAATTTTTCTTTTTACAATACCTGAAAATTATACAAACATTATACTTAAGTACATTCGTTTCTATCCTTTCACCAGCACCGATATCTTTAAGCATTTAATATACGCATTTATTTTGCAACTGACCAAGTCATTGGCAACAAACTCAAGAGTCAAAGTCAATCAAAGTTACACAATCGGTCAGGTGTTAAAGAACAAATGCTAATCATAAAGCCATGGGCGCACACACGAATCGAACGCATTCTTACATTAACCGATCTTACTAAACCAATGCTAAGACAATGACATTGAACAACGAATGAAATTGCAATGACCTGTTGCGCAGCTAGTGCCTCAACATCTCTAAAAGTTACTCACTCAGTCTGTGCCTGGATAGCGGAGATAAGGGGAAGATTTCATATTTAATCGGTTGCATCTGCGAGATCTGTACAGAGAAATACAATCACATTGCTGATTAATCTATCGACAAAGAGTAACAAATGAGGTGCTTGGCACCTACTTACGGCTCTAACCTGCTTCTTCAGTAGAAAGCAAATGCAGGTCCACACACGGGCGGCCAACAAGAGAAAACCTCTCATCCCCATCTGCAATTGCTTCAGCATTGTTCTAGCAGTCTTTTTTTGCACCGGGCCTCAAAGTCCGGCTCCTCGGCGCTTTCCCTCTATTACTCCCCGATATCGTCGTCAGTGTCTTTCCGCGCGAGCGCGCGCGGACGCAATCAACCTTCGGCGACGTCGTCTTCGTAGCCAAACATTCACAGTCCTAAGGTAATTGCTAGCAGAAAGACGTGCAAGTGTCTCCGTCTCTCTCCTTCGCGCTCACTCCTCACACACGCGTGCACAGAACAGCGCGGGGGCGCGCGCGCGCGAGCGCGCACGCGTCTTTTTTAACAACTTTGTCGCCGACGTCCTTGTAGACGTCGTGTTACACAAGCATGTTGATATTATAAACAAACGCGCTCTCTATTGACGGCAGAGGGAGTAGGGGGATAAGAGGGTACGTGGAGGTGGAGAAGGAGGAGGAGGAGTAAAAGGATGAGGGGACTTGGGGAGAGAGGCGTAGGAGGAAAAGCAGGAGGAGGAGGAGGAGGAGGAGGAGGAGGAGAACACGTATGCTCGCGGACTCGAGGGGGTTTCCGGCGTGGAGCTCGCGTGCCGCGCGTGGAGCCGTGGAGCGTCCGGGAGGTATGTGTCCCTGTGTACGCGCGCGTGTCGCTACGAGCGATGGCGCCCCTAGTGCCGAGGACGATGACGACGTCGAAAGTTGGCCCACGGCTCAGCCGGCCGTACTAGCGCCAAGTGTCCGGGGGACGAGCGGTGGCTCGTCAGGCCGCGAGTCGCTGCCGTTGGTGCCGCTGCGCGCTACCGTGGACCCAGTCACCGTCTTCATGGCGACGACACTGCACCCCGAGTACCCGGCTCGGCTCGGCTCTCATCTCGCCCTCCTCACGCGGACTCGTCACGTCCCACCTACGTCTTCAGGCTCAGCCTCCCACCGACGCCCTGGACGACGAGTGGATGCGCGCGCTACAACAGCCGCCGAACGGATCGCTCGGCACCTTGGTCGCGCGCGCGTACATGGGCAGATCACCGCGCGGCGAACGGCTTACACCTGAGTGCACGAGCCTAAAACTCTACCCTAGACGACGGGTCGCTCTACTCGGCACTGAGATTAGGAGTACGGCGCCAACGCCGCTAGCGATCCCCACGTCGTCGACTTACTTCTCTTATATACACACACACACACACACACGCGCGCGCTCTCTCTCACACACACACACACACACACTCTCTCTCTCTCTCTCTGGTGGCCTCCCCCGCCCCCTCCGTCGCTGCTACTACGACCAACGACCACCACCACCACTGCGACTACACCACGCCGCCGTCGCCGCTGTCGCTCCGCGTGCTGGCTCTCACTCTCTCTCTCTCTCTCTCTTGTTCTCTCTATCTATCTTCGTCGTACTGTAGCCAGCACGTAGCGGGCACGGCCGGGAGAGAGGATAGGTGCGCGCGCCCCTATCTTATCTATCCATCTGTCTTTGTCGCGACTGGCTACACTACACTTTGCTGCCCCTGTGCACGCGATTCAAACTCACAGCAGCCGCCATCTTTCGTCGATCGACCCAATATTTTGTCGTGTGCAGTTTCTACACAGCGCATACGTGGGTGCGCGCGCGCTCGCGCGCGCACGCGTTCGCAGGGGGGAAAGAAGTGCGCCAGCGAAGGCGAGACGGTGCAAGAGAGATAGAACGGCGGAAGAGCAGGAGCGAGTGTGCGATAGCTTTATTGGTCGAGAGAGGGGATGGAGAAAGAGGAGGAGAGCTGTCAAATATCATACACTGTGCTCTTGCATTCCGCGCTAACCGATTGTTTCGACGCGGCATCGTTTACCTTTCGTCTTCGCCTCTTACGTTACTAATGTAACAAACATCCCCGTGCTCACGGTCGTTGATAATTGGTTCTCGCACGAGGAGCGCCATGGCACTTACGAGCTTTTCTGCTTCCTAGGACTTGAAGACACGTTTTTCATCCGTAAGAATCATTAGTCAATACTGCAATAATATTTTATTACTACGCTTTTACACCAGCACGTCCGAGATCCTGGGGTACTGCACAATGTTTTTATCATATGGATGTAACGCCGAGCATTTTACAAAGCACGTTGCAACCTCATTAGCATTTGATGGCTGTAGATCGTTGGATCACTATATCGCAGCGATCGTACGAGCGTGAGCTTACGTACGAGGAAGAATGGAATTAATTCGCAAGCTACCTTCCTTAATCATTGATTAATTGACATGTCGGGACGCATCTCAACATCATTGATATAATTAACTTAATGCCGCTTAAGTCGCCGCCTCGCTTACGGACGTGCACATGCACGCACGCACGCACGCACGCACGCACAGCCTCATACGCCAAGATATCGACGATTTCGCTAGCCAAAGACTCCGGGCTCCGGACTCCGCACTCTACCCCCGACACCCGCCAGGTCGGGGTTGCGGGCTACGCGTGCATTAAACGCAGCACACGCCAGCGTTGCGCGCCACGACTTAATATATCGACGTAAATAAATGAATAGGTCGATGTGTGTATGAGCGCTAATGCGCGGTTACGTGTACGTAGACGCAGACAGGCTGGGAGTTGCGTAGCGCACGGAACTCCATATGCCCGAATATCTTAAGACGGGAGATCCTCCGTACGTGTGCGCTGTCCGCGATATCAAGGAGCGATAATACGGTATCTCGGCGAAAAATTGTTACTGGCCATGTAAATGCCGCTACTCTCCGAGCGCTCGACCCCGGCTGCTGCGTATGGGAAAAATCACGGAACATCGGCACTCGAGCAACGCATGTTTAATCCGTCTCCCGTGTGGACTCGAATCATTCTGAGAATACTGGATCGGATGTCCGAGCAGCAGCAGCTGACAATTAAACGTCGCGAACGTCGGGTTTCTGCTTTGTGTGCCTCTGTACATGCGTCCGTGCGCGCGCGTGAATGTGCGTACGGGCGCGCGCGCTCGCTCACGCGTATCGGTGGTAGGCGCAATTGCGTACATCGGCTTCATCTCTCTCGTCATCTGGTCTGCTGTCGTTTAACTACGTAAGCTCCTCGAGAGCTCCTCCTTCGTCTCCTTCATTTTCTCCTCTCCTCTCCTCCTCCTCATCGTCCTCTCTCGCTCGTTCGCGAGCTGTTTTACCAGTGACAGACAGAACCGCTGGAAGTAGCAGACGAAGGCGAACCGGGCGTGCGCGCTCGCGCTTTTAGGAAGTGGAAGGACGAGACGTGCAATGTGAGACAGATATTCTCACATTTATTCGATTTCTCAGTCGCAGATCGGCGAAGAGGCGGTGGAAGTCGATTCGCGATTCTCCGTGCCGGAAGTCGGCACCGCGCTCCTTGTCTTTTCTAAAAATCATCGAACGCTTCAATGCGCTAATAACATACATTAATTTGTCGTCGTGCTCCCGTGCTCTCGTGCCTGCCCCCTCCCTCACCCCCGCCGCTATCCTCGTCTAGCCTCGAGTGGATGTCGAGATATTGCGCGAACGCTGGACGTTCAAGGGGATTTCGATTACGTGCTTAACGTGGCGCTACGTTATGAATTGCAATGCAGGCGTTAATGGCCCGATGCTAGAATGTGTCTAATGTTTATTTATTGATGTGGGAAAAGACGGGACAAGCGATCAATCCTCCTTTGGCTACTCGGCTAGACTGGTGATTAATGTGCTCTCTACTACTCTTTGATGGACGCTTGGCTGGGCTTCTTAGCTCTGTGCTTGCTTATTATAGGTGAACGAGACTTTGTGTCGAGTTAGCTAAAGATAAAGCTAAGCCGTCTGCCAAGTTATGAATTCTCAACCAATCATGGTACCTGGGGGAGATCATAGCCGCAGAACACAGTCAGAGTCTCACTCGACGTCGGTGGGTAATATAGCCGGGGATGTATTGAAAACTATGACACCTCCCGGTACTGTTAGATCCGTGTCAGGTGAGCACTCCTCCTTAGTACATACTTTTTTTTTCCCTAATATTTTTCTAGTTTTGCGACTTACTTGTCGATTAACTTAGCTACAGAGGATCGTCGCTCTCGTCGTGGAAGCAGTCAAGCTCAGCCGTTGTTAGCCAAGCCTCCTTCTTCAGAATCGCTGGTAACAAACAGTGGCACTTGGGTCGACGGACAAGCACCGCCTTTATCTCCAGGTAAATTGATAATTAGATAAATTAAAGTTAATGCGCACCTTGCGCAATGGCCACTTAAAGCTATTAGATAAGATAAGATGCCATGAGCGCGGTAGCTAACAATTTACCAAGCCAAATGTCTTCTGTCCGTCTGTTCCAAAGCGAACCTAATTTAAGCATTAATAGGAAATTTCTGCGTGAGACATAATTTCGGGAACGATTAATATTCATTTATTTATTGATTTCTCTAATGATTTCTCATTTATTTTCAGGCTTGGTTAGTTCCGTTTCATCAACGACGGGGGAACATAGTCCAAAAGTCGATGGTCAACTAGAAAAAATAGGCGATTCCGGTTGCAAATTAACCAGAAAAGAATCTTATAAGGCACAGCGTAAAACTTACAGAATGGAGAAGAAAAGAGTGGCGGACGAACTTCTTAATTCACTAAAAGATCCAACGGTGGTTGTTATGAGCGATTGGCTCAAAGTCAGAGGGACGCTGAAAAGTTGGACTAAATTATGGTGCATTTTAAAGCCTGGGCTATTGCTTTTATACAAGAGCCCTAAGATAAAGGTAAATTTTTCCCCCCTTTTTTTCCCTTTTTTTTCCCTTTTTTTTTACCTGTTTTCTTTTTTCTACAAGACATACGTGCCAAGTATCGATCGCATACAATTTGTAACTCTCAATGACAATGTATCTTGCCATCTTCTTATCTTATCTATATTTTGCCTATATTCCTTTATCTTTATCTTATCGATATAACTTATCTTCTTATCTGTATACCATCTTCTTATAGAGTAATCATTGGGTCGGTACCGTTTTATTGAATACCTGCCAAGTGATCGAGCGACCCAGTAAAAAGGACGGATTCTGCTTTAAACTGTTTCATCCACTCGAGCAATCGATCTGGGCGCCTCGTGGACCAGAAAAGGAAGCCATTGGTAATATAAATGAGTCATATTCTTATAAACAA